AAAAAAAAAAAAAAAAAAAAAAAAAAAAAAAAAAAAAAAAAAAAAAAAAAGGCCAACTTTTTAGGTGCTTTTATACTGTATTCTCTCCACAGTGATGTGACTTTTCAAAATTTTCCACTGGAAAAGATGTAACCTTGCAACGTGGTTTAGCAATTATTTTGCACTGTATCTGGTGGTTGAATTTTGCTTTTATTGTACTGTGGACTTGTGACTAAGGCAAATAAAACTTAAGCTCACTTAGTTTAAATATCTCAAAATAACATTTAGGAAAAGGTGCAGTTTTTCTTTGCTTCAGAGTGGGTTTTTATCACAAAGGAATGAGTGAGACGATTATTTGTGTTGGAACTTCTGCACAGTCATTGAATGCTGTGAGTGAATGTTAGTGGAAATTCTTGTCAAGGGAAACAAGTTTCTTTCAGAATATTCTACCAAATACTACTGAAAGGGAGAATGCAGAGCAAAACACCTGTTGGGAGAGAATGGGAAAAGGGAAGAGGGAAGAAATTCCTGTGTAGAGTTTTATGCTCTGCACTGGTCCTTTGATAGTTGGATGGCAGTGCATGCCTGAAGTTAAGGTTAGGTTTTGTCTTTGTTACTTGGATCTATAGGTAATGCATTGAAGAAACATCATTTGAACTTATTTCAAATAGTAGTCTTAGAATTTTGGTAGTAGCTAAATGTTGCAGTATAGTAACAATGTTTACAGTAAGTTGCAAACTTTTATCATTTTAGTAGGGATGCTCAAACCTCTAGCCTTAGTTAAACTGGCAGTTGTAACTTGGACTTGTAAAAATGAAATTAATAAGCTTGTATGTAAAGAAATAGCCTTTGGCTGGGTGCAGCATCTCACACCTGTAATTCCAGCACTTTGGGAGGCTGAGTAGGGCGGATTACTTGAGGTCAGCAGTTCGAGACCAGCGTGGCCAACATAATGAAATCATGTCTCTACTGAAAATACAAAAATTAGTCGGGCGCGATGGTGGGCACCTGTAATCCCAGCTACTCAGGAGACTGAGGCGGGAGAATCCCTTGAACCGGGGAGGCAGAGGTTGCAGTGAGCTCAGATCATGGCACTACACTCCAGTCTGGGCGACAAGAGCGAGACTCCGTTTCAAAAAAGAAAAGTAGCCTTAGGCTGGGCACTGTGGCTCACAGTTGTAATCCTGCCACTTTGAGAGGCCGAGAGGCAGGCAGATTGCCTGAGCTCAGGAGTTCAAGACCAGCTTGGGCAACATGATGAAAACCCGTCTCTACTAAATTACAAAACAATTAGCTGGGTATGGTGGCATGCGCCTTTAAACCCAGCTACTCAGGAGGCTGAGGCAAGAGAATTGATTGAACTGGGAGGTGGAGGTTGCAGTGAGCTGAGATTGAGTCACTGTACTCCAGCCTGGGAGGCAAAGTGAAACTCTGTTTCTAAAAAAAAAAAAAAGCCTCTTTTATGTGATATGTTGTATCCATGTTTAAGATTCCCATGGTAGCTCACTGGGTTTGAACACTTGAGTGTAGGGCTGATGTAGGTGTATTTGAGAAAATCCCAAATAAGCTGGTGGAATGGTTGAAATATTTAAGACAGTTTTATACTATGTGGCTAAAATGCTGTTCAGTGTGACTAAAGTTATAGCAGATACAATACAGATTTTTTTTTTTAAATACGGGGTTTCACCATGTTGGTCAGGATGGTCTTGAACTCCTGACCTCAGGTGATCTGCCCGCCTTGGCCTCCAAAGTGCTGTGCTTGGATTACAGGCGTGAGCCACCACGTCTGGCCTTTTTTTTTTTTTTTTGAGACATAGAGTCTTGCTTTGTCGCCCAAACTGGAGTACAGTGGCATGATCTTGGCTCACTGCAACCTCTACCTCCAGAGTTCAAGTGATTCACCTGCCTCACTGTCTGAGGTAGCTGGGATTACAGGTGCATGCCACCACGCTTGGCTAATTTTTTTGTATTTTTAGTAGTGATTTGGTTTCACTATGTTTATCAGGCTGGTCTTGAACTCCTGACCTCAGGTGATCTGTCTGCCTCAACCCCCTGAAGTGCTGAGATTATAGGCATGAGCCACCACACCCAGCCAAAATAGATATTTCTTCCAAAATCTTGAAAAATAACTGTAAAACCAATTACCCTTAGTTATACTTCTCAGGGATAAGCAGCATTTGGTGTAATTTCAGTCATAGACACACACATAGATGCAGAGTTAATATGTTTTTGGTAATGTTTTATGCCCTGATTTAGTTCACTAAATGTAATTTTGAAAACATTTTTTTCTTGTCATTCTTAAACATTTTTAATGGCTGTATAATATTCTGTTATATGATGTTCCATAATTCTTCCACTGTCGGACATGGAGGTTCTAGTTTTTGCTATGAATAAGAATATAAATAATGCACAAATCTTTGCATTAAAATGTTTTCTTGCTGGGCACAGTGGCTCACTCCTGTAATCCCAGCACTTTGGGAGGCTGGGGTGGGCAGATCACAAGGTCAGGAGATGGAGACCATCCTGGCTAACATGGTGAAACTCTGTCTACTAAAAATACAAAAAATGAGTGGAGCATGGTGGCACGTGCCTGTAGTCCCAGGGGAGGCTGAGACAGGAGAATCGCTTGAACCCGGGAGGCAGAGGTTGCAGCAAGCGGAGATCGTGCCACTGCACTCCAGCCTGGGGCGGCAGAGTGAGACTGTAAAAAAAAAAAAAGTTTTCTCAGCCTTTTGGAAGTGGAATTACTGGGTCAAAGGATAAGAACGTTTTATAAAATTTTTGGTACATGTTGTCAGATTGCTACAATATTTCTTTTTTTTTTTTTGAGATGGAATCTCTCATCCAGGCTGGAGTGATGTGGCACAATCTCATCTCACTACCACCTCTGTCTCTCAGGTTCAAGTGATTCTTGTGCCTCAGCCTCCCTCCTGAGCAGCTGGGATTACAGGTGTCTGCTACCATGCCTGGCTACTTTTTGTATTTTTTAGTAGAGACGGAGCTTCACTATTTTGGCCAGACCAGTCTTGAACTCCTGATCTCAAATGATCCACCTGCCTCGGCCTTGCAAAGTGCTGGGATTACAGGCGTGAGCCACCGCGCCCAGCCAGATTGCTACTATATTTCTGTATCGCAGTTTACTCTCCTAATTTAAGCCCGTCTAAATAGAGTACTCTAATAAGAGTTTGGGTTTTTTTTTTCCTTTTTGTTCTTGTTTCCATGCACAGCATTAATCTGATAAGAGTTCTTAACTGCCTTACACTTCAAAAAATAATAAACGGTAGCATATCCGTTTGGGAATTAGATGTTTTGCAGTTAAGAGTTTAGCATTTAATGTTTTCTTTCAACTCTTGATTTAATAATTTTACTGAGAGTGATAGATGTTATAAATAGCTGTGTGGATGAAGAAGTAAAAGAGTAAAACCAAAATGACAGTGATTTTAATAAATGCAAATTTAGTATATTGTTGGTTACAACTTGTGAGAACGCACTAAAAACAGATTGTTTTGTGGTCAGGAGAAACCAGGACAGATGCTTAAGAGTGAAAGTGGGTAATGGATTCAATAAACTTTATAAAGCAGTAATTACAGCTCAATGACTTGCTCTATTTTTGGCTGGCTGTGGACAGGCAACCTCTTCATGAAGCTGAATGCTAATGATGCTTCTATAAAACCACACCTGAAATACTTGACAGGACTGTCTTCCTTTAGGTAACCTAGAATCTCAAGATTAAGTCAAGGAAGCGGTTTTAAAGAATGAAGAACAAATTGTGCTACTAGCCTCTTTGCCTTTCCCTTTTTATTTTCATCTCTGAAAACATTAAACAACATATAGAGTGATTGGCCCGAAAACAGTAAGGTAAAAAGCCATTGTCCTAAGTGTTTGAAAGGCAAGGACAGAGTAATATTTAGTGTGAGTACATTGTCTCTAGCCACAGTAGTATTGAATAAATACTAGAGAAAATTTAGTAGCATCTACGCTGATGAAATCTGGGGAAGACACATAGATAGATTAGATCTTAATGTTTTCTCTGCTAATTAGGTGAAAATGAAATGATTTGAAATGAGTTTTGTTTTTTAAAATATTTAGCTCTGTTCATTGACTTTTTAGAAAGAATTCCTAAATTGGATATTATCCATATAATTAAAATATTTCAGGCCAGGTGCGTTGGCTCATGCCTGTAATCCTAGGAGGCTGAGGAGGGTGGATCACCTGAGGTCAGGAGTTCAGGACCAGCCTGGCCAACATAGCAAAACCCTGTCTCTACTAAAAATACAAAAATTAGCTGGGTGTGGTGGTGCGCCTGTAATCCCAGCTACTCGGGAGGCTGAGGTGGGAGAATTGCTTGAATCTGGGAGGCGAAGGCCGCAGTTAGCCAAGATCACCCCATTGCATTCCAGCCTGGGCAACAGAGCGAGACCCCGTCTCAAAAAAAATAAAAAATTTTACAAATTGGCTTGCAGGCTCAGTATCATTAGATGTGTTCTTTGGCCTCCGTTTCAATTTTTAAAACAAAAACAGTTGATTAGAATGAAAATAAATACAGAACCAGTATTTAGAATTTCACCTGAGAACCAGACTGGAGAGACTTTGATTTGGTTAAATAAGGAATATTCTTTGTTTTTTAAATTGGTAGCTTGGATCTTTAAGCATTATAGATAATTGTTACTTAAAAAATTATGGCTATTGGTGTGTGGTGAAATGGTGTATATTTGTCTAAAGCAAATGAAAATAAAAATCAAGGTATTAGTTGCTTAAATGGTAGGTTTGGAGTTACCTGCAGTATTCTGTTTAGTTACATGGTTACAAAAGTTTATATCATTTTAATGACTTGACAGGATTCCAGAAAATCCGAGTTACTTGAACTATTAACTATTTTATTGCTTTTATTATAATAGTTTTCTGGACCAGGATTTCCAATACCAGGATTATTAATTTTTTTAAAAAAATTGAGACCATGTTAATTACAATAAATACAATAGGCAGTATGGATCATTAGATATTTTGCTCACTTCAGTCATCCTCAGCAGATCATTTATAGCTACAGCATTAAAACAGACCATTGACTTCAGTTTTGCTTTGTACTGTTGATAAAGTTAATGTATGAAAGTGCTTATAACAATGTCTAGTTACCTATGAAGTATATTATTACTTACTGCTATCCCCCTTTGGAGGTATTAATAAGACTGAGAAGGAAAACTAGAAACAAGATATCAGGGTTGATAAACCTGAAAATTGGATAATTGACGTTTGGACAGTTCATCTTTATGTATGGAAGAAAAAACTTCTATAATGGTGAAAGCTATTGAAATGGGCGGGGTGCAGTGGCTCACGCCTGTAATCCCAGCACTTTGGGAGGCCGAGGCGGACAGATTGCCTGAGCTGGAGAGTTCGAAACCAGCCTGGGCAACATGGCGAAACTGTGTCTCTACAAAAGAATTAGTTGTGTGTGGTGACGGATGCTTGTAATCTCAGCTGTGTGGGAGGCTGAGGCAGGTGAATTGCTTGAACTCCGGAGGCGGAGGTTGCAGTGAGCCAAGATTGCACCACTATGCTCCATCCTGGGCGACACAGCAAGACTCTGTCAAAAAAAAAAAAAAAAAAGGCTTTTGAAATGGAAGCATGTCTCTGAACATGGTGTAATGAATATAGAATTGGAAGCAAGGAGCATTAACTCTCTCCCCCTCATAATAAATAGTATATATGCACTGTAATACATTTGGGAAATATAGGAACTCATTCATAAATAAAGTTGTCTCGTTACCTAGAGATAGCCACATCTAATATGTTTTCTTTTTTTGAAAGATGTGAAAGTATGCACATTAAAAATTTGAATTGTGTTGTATACGCAGTCTGGATTAAGTTGGTATTTGCATAATAGTCTATCCTCTTAGTATCTGTCTCCCTATTTCACATATCTCATATTCCTCCCTTATCAGATCAGGAAAAACTTGCTTATACTTGACTTACTTGTTAATGAGGCCTCATTTTGTTGTTAGAACAAGCATGTTTTAAACTTCTCTAATACGGAAGGAATGGAATGGTCATGTCCATTAAAGAAGCAGGTCTTTGGTGTTGGTTGGGGAAGGGAGTGATCTTTTTAAGACCACATTCAGGCCGGGCGCGGTGGCTCACGCCTGTAATCTCAGCACTTTGGGAGGCTGAGGCGGGTGGATCACGAGGTCAAGAGATCGAGACCATCGTGGTCAACATAGTGACACCCCGTCTATACTAAAAATACAAAAAATCAGCTGGGCATGGTGGCGCATGCCTGTAATCCCAGCTACTCAGGAGGCTGAGGC